CCCCCCGCCAACCATAACATTATTTTCGTTGCTACTTCCTCACTGTCATGTTGCTACTGTTATGAATCGGGCAACCCCTGTGAAAGGGTCATTCGACCCCCAAAGGGGTCGCGACCCACAGGTTGAGAAACTGCTGAGCTACAGCTTGCTCTTGGATTTGCTCCCCTGTGCCACATGCATGGCAAACAGGCACTAGGAAAGGTGGTCAGGTTTTTAGTCTGCAATTCAAGGAGCTGTCCTGCTGACATCATCATCGTCATTATCTTCCCAGTGGCTAACATTTACTGGATGCTTTCCCGGTGCCAAGCACTGTGTTCATGGCTCTGCATGCACTATTGTCAGCCGGTTAATTAAACTGTTCATTTCACTGTGCCTGGGAGGTTACTTACCAGCACCCCAAAGAGGCTCTATTATGAAACAAGTACAATATGACAAATGGACAAATGTGACAATATTTGAAAATGCTGGGAGAACAGAATATCTCTCTGAGTGGGTCCTGAGGCTTGGGGTGCTTATGGTTGGGCTGCTTGGTACTCTGGGGAAATGTTGCCCTGCCCCCGCCCCCCCCCCAAAAAAAAAGGGTCACAGTTGTTTTCTTGGTGCCTGAGCAACTGCTGCAGGAGGAGATCTTTTCGAAGGCGAAATCGGGACTCTCCGTGGAGGGTTGCTGGTTCTTCGCTGCGTCTTCGCCAGGCTGCAGACTCGCTGAGCTGGAATCATTTGGACGCAGCATCTAATAAAGCAATCAACAAGAAAATTCCTCTGAAACCCTCCCTGGTATTTAATATTTGATTCATTCCCATGTTATGGTGCTTTGCCTGCGGTCAAACAGCCTCAGAAACGGCCGCCTCCTCCTCCCAGCGAGGCATGAGGCGGCTGACAAGCATTTTCCCATGAATTGCTACTACAACACAATGGCATTTTGTTTGCTGTTTTGTTTCCCTGTCTTCTAACATTCTTTCTGACTTTCAAGTAAAAGAAAAAAAAAAGAAGAAGAAGAGAAAGAAATCCTCCTATGAATGGCGAAGAAAAGCAAAGAAACGTTTCTTTTAAACTTTCAACCTTTTTCCTTTGGTACCGGGAGTAGCATGTAAACATTGTTTTTCTTCTCATGGAATAGTCGCTGGTACTTTTTCCTCGGTCTGTGCTCTAAATGACATCTTCTTCTTTTAAAAACTCGCATAACACTGCCTTTCCTTTATGGATTGAGACAATCAGCAGGGGGGCGGGGGTGGGAATCAAGCCTGTACACAGATCAAGAAAGGGAAGTCAGAAGAAGGTGGTCCCAACCATCCATCTATCCATACGGCCATTGATCCATCAATCCACCTCGCCATCCACCCGCCTCTATTAAAATAAATAGCAGGCGCAGGACACATTGCTGGTTGGCTGAAGTTGTGATGGGGACAAAAGGTCTGTTTGGGGAAGGGATGCTGAAACTCTAATTCTATTTGTGCCGGTTGAAAAGCAGGAGGGGTTTTTCTACACTTCACTTTTATTAGATTATTTCTTATAGATGGTTTCTTTTTCCCTCCCAGACGCGTGGTGGAGGCTGCTGAAGCAGTTGGTCTATAGTTGGAATAATTAAATTAGCCATTTGGTACAACTTTTAGGGGCGAGCTCGCGTGTAGAAAGCACAACTTGAACAAAACAGGCCGCTGGGTCTGGGGCTCTGGCCTGGCCCGGTCCCTGGCTCCTTTCATTTTGGGAGCATGAGCAAGACCTAGGGCCACAAAAGACGGAAAGAGGGGCGATGGGACAGGGGTGGGGATGGGTGGCGGGGAGGGCTGGTGACATGGAACAAAATAAACCTACAAGGCCCACAAAGGGAAAAATGAAGTCAAGTGCCTTTGCTCATCCGACCTTGCCTGCTGAGCCCTAAAAGGTCTCTGGGTACAAAGGGAAGGAGGCGCCCAGCCTGCCGAGACCCAGCACCGGAGGGCGCCTCCAGAAGGCGCTGGCAGAGCGGCGGCAGGGTGCTGCGGGCACCCGGTGAGTCCAGGCCTGTGGAGCCGGAACAGCACGGCGCGAGGGCAGGACGGTGCTGGGCTTGCTGAGCGTGCGTGCGGGGTGGCCACAGAGCGCTGGCTTCCATTGAGCCAGGTCCCCCACCCTGCTCTGAGCGCCCGCCCCGCTCTCTCGGGCGTCGCCCAGACACCTGGCCTAGCTCCTCCTCCCTGTCCTCCGCAGGTGCACCGACCTGGCCTGAGCACGCACAGTCTACACCCAAAAGCCAGCCTCCAACGCAGGGCCCGATATCCTCTCCAGTTCCGGGCCCTCCTGCTCCTCCCTCTGCCTCAGTGGTTGTCAGGGTCTGGGGATTGTCCTCAAGCTGGAGTTGCCCGCCAGGACTCTGGCCTAAGGGGGTCGGATGGGACTCCGGACTGGTGGCCTCGGGAGCCCAGGTGGATTGGCTGGTTGACGCTGCCTGCCCTGCACTTCGGGGAGTCACCACGCTGAATTTGAGCCTGGTTACAGCCCAGCAAGAGCCCCAAAGCCAAAAAAAATCCCGCTTCCCTGGGGCCACCCCGAGACACGCACACCCACCCCTTTTGCAGAAAAGGACCCTTAACTTCACTTTAGAGGTGGAGGAGCTAACACGGGCCTGGAGTGGTGGGTCCAAACCAGCAAAGCAAAAAGCCCCCTTCCAAAACCGCAGGGAGCCAAGAAATTGGGACAATCGCAGCCTTGTGCTTGACAACGTAACCTATCTCCTGAAGCGACTTGGGGTGTGTGTATGTGGGGGGAATTCCGTGTGTGTGTGTGTGTGTGTGTGTGTGTGTGGCCTCCAAAGGGACAGGGCCACCTCCTGGTCCAAATGCAGATTCATATTCATGAGAGCGGGGTAAATAAAGACAAATCCCCGCTGTAATAACACTTGGATTCGCATCCGTCTTCGCTGGCCTTTAGGTTTAGGGGACCGAAGACAGATGTTTGCATCGTTTCTCCTCCTCTTGTCTGGTGTCCATAAAGAAAAACCATTTAGAGCGCTGCCATTTGTTTCCCGCCACCGTTAAACCTTGTTCACATTTATTTTCATTTCACCCCCGTGCACAAAAAAGTGCACACAGGCCACCAAAGGCCCTTCTTTATCAAATACGCATTGTACAGCATGCAACTGCAATAAAACTATCCGCGCGCCCCATAAAACTATCAGCGGGCACTTCCATGGGTCTTGCAGCCCGTTCGCAGGCTGTCTCAAGTCCAGAGGGAGAGCGAGCACCTGAATCCAGCCTGCAACTTACCCTACTGAGACACACGGGCTGGGGGGCCGCTGTGCCCCATTAATCCATTACAGCGTCTTGGGCAGTTTAGTGCGCGATAAAGCACAGCGACGGCGGCGAGAGCGCCCATCCACTCCCCAGCACTAGCATCGAATTAAAGCACTTAGTTTGGCAAACACTGAACGCCTAAATGCCCTTATAAAGACTTTATGAGTTTGTTACTTTAATTACTGACTTGTTACAGAGCACATAAAGGGGTAATGAATGCAATAAAACTAATTATCTACACATTTAATTCATATAAAATATCCAGGGTTTGTTTACACAACATGGCGATGCAACTAAGCATCCCCCCTCTTGTCCACCGAGAGGAAGGATTTAATGAAATAGTTTCCCTTCTTCTGCTAGAACCTAACGAACCAAATGAAAATTACCCTCCGCTTAAATCATGGGCCACGGCCGAGGTCCACAAAACAAGGTTGGCTCCTTTGTCTGCCCTTCGCTGGCAGCACCCAAGACCCCAAGTATTTGGGGCAGGGAAGGTGCTCGACCTGTAGCCCTGGCCCCGCCATTTCAATGCCCAGGGTTCCGCTCTGCGCAGCGCCGCAAACCTATAGGGTAGAAGGCAATTGCTTTCCCCAAAGCCTCTAGCTCCCCAAAGGTAGCAGGCTGGGGAGGAGGTGGCGGGGGAGTGGGGTGGGGTGGAGAGAAAAGGGCGAGGGCCCAGGAGGGACAGTAGAGGAGACGCTTTGGGGCTCACTCCCTTCGCACTCTCCAGTTACAGTTCCTGCGGCGTGATCAAAACGGACAACCGCGCAGGCACAGCACCTCCAAACCAAACAAACCCTCAACCAGCAGACACACAACTGCGCGCAAAGCAGGCGTCGGTTGAGAACCAACGCTTTTCCATTCCGGAGCTTTAGTCCGAGGTCCTTGTGTACGCTGGCTCTCCACAAAAGCATTTTAGGCAGCAATAAGAAATGCAGTCTCTCAGATGCGCTTATTATTATTAATTATTATTTTATACCCCCTCTACCAGGTGTATTTTAAAAAGAAATCCGCTTATGGTTTTCGCATAACCCCCCTTGGCCCACTTACTCTATGTTACAGGGCGCCTGAGTCTTGCCAATGTCCCAATCCTTTATAACATTTCATGCACTTCGGGGGGTAGGCTTGTTGTTAAATTGAGCGTGTAACGCTCTTACAAAACAGGTTTTCTATGACATCAAGGTTTCTTCTCCCTAACCAAGGGGGGGGGGGAGGAAGAGAGAAAGAAGATGAAGAAGGGGGAAACACACACACTATCTCAATTTATGCCTAAGGTATATGATCAGTTAAAAAGGCTTAAAAGCTCGGGGAAATTGGATCAGGGAGAATCGTCACCCAACTTTCATTATTTCCAAGTAGTGTGATTGAATTAAAGGGCAGGGAGCTGGTTAGAAGGGAGGATCAGGGGCTCCATGCGTAATGGTGTGGTATTAAATTCTAATTAGAGATGCAGGAATCAATGATAGGGAGGTTGGACAGCTCAGTTCCCCAGTGCCAGCCCAATAGACGGATGAGTTATTGTCATGTAAAAAGCGCCAGTAATAAGACCAACCGCTTTGCTATTGTCCAAGTGGAAAGAGCCAAGTTTATTATGAGCACTATATGCTCTAGAGACCTCAGACAAGGCATCTCATAGGAGGCTTTTTCATAAAACTAGGCTCTGCTGGTAGTAAGGAGGCCAGTTTGGAGGCAGGCGTTGAGCTGTGCGCATCTCCCCTCTCCAGCCACCTTCTCCATATCCATCTTTTCTTTCATTTTTCCACTTGGCCGAGCCATCCAGAGCCTTTTCAATGTATAAAATGGAATATTCTTACCTCAATTCCTCTGCCTACGAGTCCTGTATGGCTGGTATGGACACCTCCAGCCTGGCTTCAGCCTATGCGGACTTCAGTTCCTGTAGCCAGGCCAGTGGCTTCCAGTATAACCCCATCAGGACCACTTTTGGGGCCACGTCCGGCTGCCCGTCCCTCACGCCGGGATCCTGCAGCCTGGGCACCCTCAGGGACCACCAGAGCAGTCCGTACGCCGCAGGTAAGGACCGCCAGCTTTCTCCGCGGAGGAAGCCGCCTTTCTGCTGGTATATAGGAAGCCTTGATTGCATTTGAAAATGGAAATGTGTTTAGTATTTACCAAACGAAATTTGCTTACACAAATGAAAGAATTTATCACGTTAGAAGCGATTGCAGGGAGGGGTAATTCACTTACAGGGTTACCCTATCCTAGTCACACCCGAACCGCCAACAAAATTATCTTAAGCTGCCAAAATGATAGGCATAATTTATTTACTTTGCGATGAGACGTAAAGCTTAGAAAATAATTAAATAACAAAGAGTAAAGCTCATTACTGGCAGTGTCTCTCTCTTTTTTAAAGAGCCGGCTGCGGCTCACACCTCTTTGGCTGGTCATTTTTAGGAGGATTTCTTTCGTTTGTGATGATGATATTTTTACAGCACTACCTCCCCCCAACTTTGGGGCCGGGTCAACTTCTGAGAATTGAGAAGTTCCTTCAAAGGGAGAATTGGGTAACCTCTTCCTTGGCTCCCCGATGTTCCGACCAATGTTCCCGGGGTTTTTTTCCACTCTCATTTCCCACTCCACCAGCTCTAAGCACTCTCTACGCTGTGTTGTGCTGAGGCCCACAGTCACCTCCATTGCACGGCTCCAACCGGCCCCCAAGGCGCCTTTGCCAGGCGGGACACCGCCAGTGTCCGAAATTTGCGCCCCTGTTTCGTGTGTAACTAATTCGCCCAGCTTCTCTCGGTTGCTGCTCCTCTGGGCCACTCTTCCGTGCCCGTGGCGTCGACGACTCCGGGGGGCCACTTGACCTTGGAGTCTCCACGGGAAGGCTCCGCGGTCCCCGCGCTCCCGGCCAGCCGGCTCACTCTCTCCTCCCTCTCTCTTCCCGCAGTTCCTTACAAACTTTTTACCGACCACGGAGGCCTCAACGAGAAGCGCAAGCAGCGGCGCATTCGCACCACCTTCACGAGCGCGCAGCTCAAGGAGCTGGAGCGCGTCTTCGCGGAGACGCACTACCCAGACATCTACACGCGGGAGGAGCTGGCCCTAAAAATCGACCTGACCGAGGCGCGGGTTCAGGTAGGCGCGCCCGGAATTGGTGCCGGGAGGGCTGGGGCCCAGCGGGCTAGGGCCAGGGCCGGGCGCTGGGCGCGCGCTCCGGGCTGGCTTCGGCACAGCTGCCAAACGTGTCCCCCCACCCGAGAGCTAAGCGCAGCAGAGGAATTGAGGACCTTGAAGTGAGGGTGACACTCCGGGCGGGAACACAAGTTGCCCCACGGAGGAGGGATGCCGACGCTGTCTCTGCTTTGTAACGCGTAGTTGGGTTGGGTTGATCAAGGCAGCGTTTTGAACTTGGGGCCTCTGATTTCCTTCGGATTCGCCCAGCGCAGTGACTCCAGGAACAGGGAGAACCAAGCGTTCTCTGATCCCTAACGGACAAACGCGCCCTCCCAGAGCGCTCCAGCGGCAGGCCGGGGACCACCAAGCAACCCCCCACCCCAGTGGAGGGGCGGCACGTGCTTGGGGCCTCTGAGACTGGGAAGGCGAGATGGCGAGTTTCCGAACCCTGAGAAGGGCTCCTTTCCTGGATTCGAGTTTAACTTTAGCCGCAGCGTCTAGGAGCCGAAGTCGAGCTGGGCGGTTGGGCGAAAAGTGAATGAACCCAAAGACCCCCCAAACCTAACTCACTGCCACGAGGAGTTACAGGTCTACCATGCTGGCTCCTGGAGACCCACTAGGACAGGGTAGACCTTCTCTTATGGGTTTCCCAGACTGTCACTTCTCCCGGGAGGAGAAAGCCTCGTCTTCATCGCTCAGCCGGGCAAGGACCACCCCAAATCAGAGTTTTATTTCAGGGCCAGTCTGGGGCCGGCGGCCCATTCGCCCTTCCCCTTTCTCTGGCGCGCTCCGAAAGGGTCTCGCAAGGTGCATCAGCCAGTCGCCAGGGGCCAAGGTGGCGGGCAGGGGGCGGACAGCGGGCGCCGGGCACCCTCTGGCCCAGCGTGGGCTGTCGCAAGGAAGGGAGTCCGGCCGGCGGGAGGGAACTGCCTCTCCCCGGGCTTCACCGCCTCTCCTCTCCTCCCCTCCCCTCTGCGCTCCCCTCGTCCCGCGCCAGGTGTGGTTCCAGAACCGCCGCGCC